GTTAAATGATATGAAATTATCACCAAATTATCAATCAGAGTGTCTAATTTCCAAAGGTGAGGTTCGTTTCGAGATATCACTTTTGGTTTTTGAGGTATACATTTTTAAACACAACAAATTTTTCAATTTCTACAACTCTTTAATTTTTTTCATATTATTTTAAAAAATGTCTAAAAAATCGATTTCTTGATTAAATATTATGAAATTATCACCAATTGTTAATGAAAAAGTCTTCTTTTCAATGATAAAGTTCGTTTCGAGATATCACTTTTAGTTCTCGAGATAAAAATGTTTAAACCCAACAAGAATTTCAATTTTTAACATTTTCTAGATTAATTTAAAAAAATTCTAAAAAATCGATTTCTTGGTGAAATGATATGAAATTATCACCAAATTATCAATCAAAATGTCTACTTTTCAAAGGTGAGGATCGTTTCAAGATATCACTATTAGTCTTTGAGATATACACTTTTGAAACACAACAAATTTTTCAATTTCTATAATTCTTTGATTTCTTACATATTAATTTAAAAAATGCCTAAAAAATTGTTTTTTTCGCAAAATGTTATGAAATTGTCACCAATTGTCAATGAAAGCGTCTACTTTTCAATGATAAAGTTCGTTTTGGGATACCACTTTTAGTTCTTGAGATATAAGTTTTTAAACGCAATAAGAATTTTAATTTCCAACATTTTCTAGATTAATTTAAAAAATTTTCAAAAAATCGATTTCTTGGTTAAATGATATGAAATTATCACCAAATTATTAATCAAAGTGTCTAATTTCCAAAGGTGAGGTTCGCTTCAAGATATCACTTTTAGTCTTTGACGTATACGTTTTTGAAACTCGACAAATTTTTCAATTTCTACAATTCTTTTCATTTCTTACATATTAGTTTAAAAAATTTCCAAAAAATCGATTTCTTGGTTAATTGTTATGAAATTGTCACCAATTATAAATAAAAATGTCTACTTTTCAATGATAAAGTTCGTTTCGAAATATCACTTTTAATTTTTGAGATATCAATTAGCAAACTTAGCAAGAATTTCAATTTCCAACTTTCTACTAGATCAGTTTAAAAAAATGTATAAAAAATCAATTTCTTGTTAGAATGTTATGAAATTGTCGCCAATTATAAATGAAAATGTCTACTTTTCAATGATAAAGTTCGTTTCGAAATATCACTTTTAGTTTTTGAGATATCAATTTGCAAACTTAATAAGAATTTCAATTTGCAACATTTACTAGATCAATTTAAAAAATTTCTGAAAAATCGATTTCTTGGTTAAATGATATGAAAATATCACCAAATTATCAATCAAAGTGTCTAATTTACAATGGTGATGTTCGTTTCGAGATATCACTTTTAGTTTTTGAGATATCAATTTGCAAACTCAATAAAAATTTCAATACCCAATTTTTTTATAGATCAGTTTAAAAAAGTTTCTGAAAAATCGATTTCTTAGTAAAATATTATGAAATTGTTACTAATTGTCAATGAGAGTCTCTACTTTTCAATTATACAGTCCGTTTCGAGATATCACTTTTACTTTTTGAGATATAAATCTTTAAACTCAATAAGAATTTCAATTTCTAACATTTTCTAGATCAGTTAAAAAAATTTCTGAAAAATCGATTTCTTGGTTAAATGATATGAAATTATCACCAAATTATCAATAAAAGTGTTTAATTTCCAAAAGTGAGGTTCGTTTCGAGATATCACCTTTAGTTTTTGAGATATCAATTTGGAAACTCAATACAAATTTCAATACCCAACTTTTTTATAGATCAGTTTAAAAAATTTCTGAAAAATCGATTTCTTGATTAAATGATATGAAATTATCACCAGATTATAAATCAAAGTGTCTAATTTCCAAAGGTGAGGTTCGTTTCAAGATATCACCTTCAGTCTTTGAGATATACAATTTTGGAACTCAACAAATTTTTCAATTTCTAAAATTCTTTGATATCTTACATATTATTTTAAAAAATGTCTAAATAATCGATTTTTTGATTAAATATTATAAAATTATCACCAATTGTTAATGAAGGCGTCTACTTTTCAACGATAAAGTTCGTTTTGAGATATCACTTTTAGTTCTTGTGATATAAGCTTTTAAACTCAATAAGAATTTCAATTTTCAACTTGTCATTTAAGAGATTTTTGAAAAATCGATTACTTGGTTAAATTATATAAAATAATCACCAGTTGTTAATGAAAGCGTCTACTTTTCAATGATAAAGTTCGTTTCGAAATATCACTTTTAGTTTTTGAGATATCAATTTGCAAACTTAATAAAAATTTCAATTTGCAACATTTACTAGATCAGTTTAAAAAATTTCTGAAAAATTGATTTCTTGATTAAATGATATGAAATTATCACCAAATTATAAATCAAAGTGTCTAATTTCCAAAGGTGAGGTTCGTTTCGAGATATCACTTTTAGTCTTTGAGATATACATTTTTGAAACACAACAAATTTTTCAATTTCTATAATTCTTTGATTTCTTACATATTAATTTAAAAAATGTCTAAATAATCGATTTTTTGATTAAATATTATGAAATTATCACCAATTGTTAATGAAGGCGTCTACTTTTCAATGATAAAGTTCGTTTTCAGATATCACTTTTAGTTTTTGAGATATCAATTTGCAAACTCAATAAGAATTTCAATATTCAACTTTTTACCATCTCATTTTAAATGTTTATAAAAAATCGCTTTCGCGGTTAAATGATATGAAATTATCACCACATTATCAACTAGAGTGTCTAATTTCCAAAGGTGAGGTTCGTTTCGAGATATCACTTTTAGTCTTTGAGATATAAATTTTTGAAACACAACAAATTTTTCAATTTCTATAATTCTTTGATTTCTTACATATTAATTTAAAAAAATGCCTGAAAAATTGGTTTCTTGGTAAAATGTCATGAAATTGTCACCAATTGTCAATGAAAGCGTCTACTTTTCAATGATAAAGTTCGTTTTGAGATATCACTTTTAGTTCTTGAGATATAAGTTTTTAAACGCAATAAGAATTTTAATTTCCAACATTTTCTAGATTAATTTAAAAAATTTTCAAAAAATCGATTTCTTGGTTAAATGATATGAAATTATCACCAAATTATCAATCAGAGTGTCTAGTTTCCAAGGGTGAGGTTCGTTTCAAGATATCACCTTCAGTCTTTCAGATATACAATTTTGAAACTCAACAAATTTTTCAATTTCTAAAATTCTTTGATATCTTACATATTATTTTAAAAAAATGTCTAAATAATCGATTTTTTGATTAAATATTATGAAATTATCACCAATTGTCAATGAAGGCGTCTACTTTTCAATGATAAAGTTCGTTTTCAGATATCACTTTTAGTTTTTGAGATATCAATTTGCAAACTCAATAAGAATTTCAATATCCAACTTTTTACCATCTCATTTTAAATGTTTATAAAAAATCGCTTTCGCGGTTAAATGATATGAAATTATCACCACATTATCAATTAGAGTGTCTAATTTCCAAAGGTGAGGTTCGTTTCGAGATATCACTTTTAGTTTTTGAAATAAAAATGTTTAAACTCAACAATTGAGCTTAAAAAAATTTATAAAAAATCAATTTTTTAGTTAAATATTACGAAATTGTTACCAATTATCAATGANTCTTACATATTAATTTAAAAAAATGCCTGAAAAATTGGTTTCTTGGTAAAATGTCATGAAATTGTCACCAATTGTCAATGAAAGCGTCTACTTTTTAATGATAAAGTTCGTTTTGAGATATCACTTTTAGTTTTTGAGATATGAGTTTTTAAACGCAATAAGAATTTTAATTTCCAACATGTTCTAGATTAATTTAAAAAATTTTCAAAAAATCGATTTCTTGGTTAAATGATATGAAATTATCACCAAATTATCAATCAGAGTGTATAATTTCCAAAGGTGAGATTCGTTTCAAGATATCACCTTCAGTCTTTGAGATATACAATTTTGAAACTCAAAAAATTTTTCAATTTCTATAATTCTTTGATATCTTACATATTATTTTAAAAAATGTCTAAATAATCGATTTCTTGATTAAATATTATGAAATTATCACCAATTGTTAATGAAGGCGTCTACTTTTCAATGATAAAGTTCGTTTTCAGATATCACTTTTAGTTTTTGAGATATCAATTTGCAAACTCAATAAGAATTTCAATATCCAACTTTTTACCATCTCATTTTAAATGGTTATAAAAAATCGCTTTCGCGGTTAAATGATATGAAATTATCACCACATTATCAATTAGAGTGTCTAATTTCCAAAGGTGAGGTTCGTTTCGAGATATCACTTTTAGTTTTTGAAATAAAAATGTTTAAACTCAACAATTGAGCTTAAAAAAATTTATAAAAAATCAATTTTTTAGTTAAATATTACGAAATTGTTACCAATTATCAATAAAGGCATCTACTTTTTAATGATAAAGTTCGTTTCGTGATATCACTTTTAGTTTTTGAAATATACACTTTTAATTTTGAACTGATTTACTATACAGGGTGATTCTCAATCTTTACGCATAAACTGAGGGATTTATTCTTTAGGACAAATAATGACTAATAGATGAAAAAATTGTATATAATAATAAATTGTATATTATTTTTTAAGTCGTAGAAATTTCGTCGTCCATTTCGTTTCGTTCTTGTGCGTGAAGCAGGTTGTTGAAGAAGAGGACTTTATTTGTTCTTTTAAATATTCAGTTATTCGTGGCCGATGTGGTAACATGTCGCTTACTTAAGTTGCATCGGGCGTAAAAGTTGTCATCGTAAATTCGTTATATGAAGCGGTCAATCTTGATCGGTCATATACGGCGTCTCAAACTCTTCGTTCTTCACCTCTTCGTTTCTCACTCACTCGGATATATTGTGGTATGTAAATAAATATGTAAATGGAGGACGGGTTTTTCGAATAATGATTAACACGACCAATCTTTTCGGCTCAATAGTTTTTAATTTTTATAATAATAATCATATATACAGTCTGTACAAAAAAATCTTTTTAATCGTTTATCGATTAAAATAAAAAAGGTGAAGTGAAAAAATAGTAAGAGCGGGTTCTTTTAGTACAACGTTTAAAAATAATTTCGCTATATATATTAACTGTACAATATGCACACGATCACTAAACAAATAAAAATAAATATCCTTAGCAGGTACGTTTAAATTACTTTACAGCATGACTGAAAAAATAGCGTTAACAGCGTTCAAATTAATATTATACCAAAAATGTTATTTCTTTTTAAGAGGAACGTTCAAAAACGATTAAATTTCAACATTTTTGGTATTTCTCCTTACGGTAAAACAAAAATATCGTCCAGCGTTATTTTAAGTTCCCTTCAAGACAAGTAAAGGTGTTAATTAGGAGCAATTTGACAGAAACATTGTCGGGCGTAAGGTAAGAAGTGTTCTGCGACGAACTTTCACAACAACTCGAGCTCACGCGTCGTGCTCGTGAACCGTTCAAAAACGGTTGCTACAAATTCTGTTACATTACACAGTTTAAAAAATGAAAAAAAAACATATTTTATCATTATAACACGTTAAAAACTACAATCACAGACGGGTTTCGCGCGACTTTTGCCGCAGAAATAATAAGACTTACACTTAATTCATTAGACAATAAAAATTCATAAATATTGAAGAGTCTTCAGGTTTCACTGGAATAATCTATTTCATTCAAAAAGTTTTATTTTTATCGGTTAATTAGTTTTATTTTTGAATCACAGACACTGAAAACCACTACCGACAACCACAACCTACCACTGTCATTTCTTTGTAATTTTTCAAAACTACTTTTTTATCGTCGTCGTCCAAATACAACATTGATATACTATTAAGCGACGTTGGTACACAACATGCTTTTGGTACACTCGAAGGATTAACAGAATTAACTATCGTTTGAATGATGGCATGGTTGGTGGTATTCATATGTTCCGCTAATGGGTAACTACACTCTCCATGACAATAATAAGCATCATAACCAGGTGGTGCAACAATCCAAGATTCCCAACCGACCTCTTTAAAATCAACAAACATCGGGTATCTCTTACACGGTTCTTGTTCCTTTCTACGTTTTCCTTTTCTAGCAGCTCTTTTTACCCTTTTCTCTAAGATTTCTTCGCCTGTTACATCACCGTATTTACCATCATCGGTGTACGTAAATAAAACTGGCTCTTTTATTGACCAATTTTCATCACTCTCCCCAACATCTCGTCTTAATCGTACGTGTTTTAATAATTTCTTTTTCGATTTTTCTTTGATACCACCAACTCTATAAACGGAAATAACTAAACCATAATTACTTTTTGGAAAATCCTTCCATCGTTGAATAACGGGGAACACATCTAAACTAATCGATGAATTTTGTGTAACATCCACCAATTTACTATCGATAATCCTGGTTATGGGGTCGCTTTTCCCACGTATTCCGGGTCTAATAATATCCGTAACAATAATCCTTTGGTAGATTTCGTCGGATTCCGGGGTGCGATCGATGATGTCTCGATGAACCACGATTTCGGCTGCTTTCAGTTTTTCGTTTTTCGGTATCGATTTGATGTCGAATTTGTACCGAAACTTATGGTGGCCTGGAAACTTGGCGTCGTCCGCGCTCTCTGGAAAAAAGATTGAGAGAAACTCGTTAGAATTGGACGAAGGAATTTGTCACGGTTCGTGTTATTTAAAGGTGCTCTCGGGTGTCCTAGTTTTTACTGGATTACTGGCGCCAGTTGAATATACCTGATGGTTTTTGGTTTTTGAATTGGTCAAAGAAAAAAATAACAATTCTTTGTAAATTATAACATGTATATTTTCAATTACACAGCTTTATTTAAAAAAAAACCTTTAATGTTTAAGATAAGAAGTTTTAAATTCAATATCGGTTTAAAAAATATCTAAAAAATCGAGTTCTTGGTAAAATGTTATGAAATTATCACCAAATTATCAATCAAAGTGTCTAATTTCCAAAGGTGAGGTTCGTTTCGAGATCTCACTTTTAGTCTTTGAGATACGCGTTTTTGAAACTCAACAAATCTTACAATTCCTAAAAATTTTCTATTTCTTACATGACATTAGTTTAAAAAATTTCTAAAAAATCGATTTATTGATGAAATATTATCAAATTATCACCAATTATAAAAGAAAGCGTCTACTTTTCAATGATAAAATTCGTTTCGAGATATCACCTTTAGTTTTTGAGATATAAACGTTTAAACTCACTGATTTTTTCGATCAGTTTAAAAAAATTGTGAAAAATCGATTTCTTAGTAAAATGTTATGAAATTATCACCAAATGTCAATGAAAGCATCTACTTCTCAGCGATAAAGTTCGTTTCGAGATATCACTTTTAGTTTTTGAGATATCAATTAGCAAACTTAGTAAGAATTTCAATCTCCAACTTTCTACTAGATCAGTTTAAGAAAATGTATAAAAAATCGATTTCTTGGTGAAATGATATGAAATTATTGCCAAATTATCAATCAAAGTGTCTAATTTCCAAAGGTGAAGTTCGTTTCGAGATATCACTTTTAGTTTTTGAAATAAAAATGTTTAAACTCAACAAGAATGTCAATATTTACCTTTTTTATTGATGAGTTTAAGAAAAATTATAAAAAATCAATTTTTTAGTTAAATATTACGAAATTGTTACCAATTATCAATGAGAGCATCTACTTTTCAATGATAAAGTTCATTTCGAGATATGACTTCTAGTTTTTGAGATAAAAATGTTAAGCACAACAAGAATCTCAAGTTCCAACATTTTCTCGATAAGTTTAAAAAATGTCCAAAAAATCAATTTCTTGGTAAAATGATATGAAATTATCGCCAAATTAACAATCAAAGTGTCTAATTTCCAAAGGTGAGGTTCGTTTCGAGATATCACTTTTAGTTTTTGAAATAAAAATATTTAAACTCAACAAGAATGTCAATATTTATCTTTTTTATCAATGAGTTTAAGAAAATTTATAAAAAATCAATTTCTTAGTTAAATATTACGAAATTGTTACCAATTATCAATGAGAGCATCTACTTTTCAATGATAAAGTTCGTTTCGAGATATCACTTCTAGTTTTTGAGATAAAAATGTTAAGCATAACAAGAATCTCAATTTCCAACATTTTCTCGATAAGTTTAAAAAATGTCCAAAAAATCGATTTCTTGGTAAAATGATATGAAATTATCACCAAATTATCAATCAAAGTGTCTAATTTCCAAAGGTGAGGTTCGTTTCAAGATATCACATTTAGTCTTTGAGATATACATTTTTGAAACACAAAAAATTTTTTAAATTCAAAAATTTTTTTATTTCTTACATATCAGTTTAAAAAATTTCTAAAAAATCGATTTCTTGGTAAAATGTTATGAAATTGTCACCAATTGTCAATGAAAGCAACTACTTTTCAATGATAAAGTCCGCTTCGAGATATCACTTTTCGTTTTTGAGATAAAAATGTTTAAACTCAACAAGAATATCGATTTCCAACATTTGCTAGATCACTTTTAAAAAATTCCTAAAAAATCAATTTTTGGTTAAATGATATGAAATTATCACCAATTGTTAATGAAGACGTCTACTTTTCGATGATAAAGTTCATTTCGAGATAGCATTTTTCGGTTTTGAGATAAAAATGTTTAAACTCAACTAGAATTTCAATTTCCAACATTTTCTCGATCAGTTTAAAAAATTTGTGAAAAATCGATTTCTTGGTTAAATGATATGAAATTATCACCAAATTATAAATCAAAGTGTCTAATTTCCAAAGGTGAGATTCGTTTCGAAATCTCACTTTTAGTCTTTGAGATATACGTTTTTGAAACTCAACAAATCTTACAATTCATAAAATTTCATTAGTTTAAAAAATTTCTAAAAAATCGATTTCTTGATAAAATATTACGAAATTGTCACCAATTATCAATAAAAGCGTCTACTTTTCAATGATAAAGTTCGTTTCCAGAAATCACCTTTAGTTTTTGAGATAAAAATGTTTAAACTCAACAAGAATATCGATTTCCAACATTTTCTAGATCACTTTTAAAAAATTTCTAAAAAAATCAATTTCTTTGTTAAACGATATGAAATTATCACCAGTTGTTAATGTAGGCGTCTACTTTTCAATGATAAAGTTCATTTCGAGATAGCATTTTTCGGTTTTGAGATAAAAATGTTTAAACTCAACAAGAATTTCAATTTCCAACATTTTCTCGATCAGTTTAAAAAATTTGTGAAAAATCGATTTCTTGGTTAAATGATATGAAATTATCACCAAATTATAAATCAAAGTGTCTAATTTCCAAAGGTGAGGTTCGTTTTGAAATCTCACTTTTAGTCTTTGAGATATACGTTTTTGAAACTCAACAAATCTTCTAATTCCTAAAATTTCATCAGTTTAAAAAATTTCTAAAAAATCGATTTCTTGATAAAATATTACGAAATTGTCACCAATTATCAATAAAAGCGTTTAGTTTTCAATGATAAAGTTCATTTCGAGATATCACTTTTAGTTTTTGAGATAAAAATGTTTAAACTCAACAAGAATATCGATTTCCAACATTTGCTAGATCACTTTTAAAAAATTTCTAAAAAATCAATTTCTTGGTTAAATGATATGAAATTATCACCAATTGTTAATGAAGGCGTCTACTTTTCAATGATAAAGTTTGTTTCGAGATAGCATTTTTCGGTTTTGAGATAAAAATGTTTAAACTCAACAAGAATTTCTTACATTTTCTCAGTTTAAAAAACTTCTGAAAAATCAATTTCTTGGTTAAATGATATGAAATTATCACCAACTCATCAATGAAAGTGTCTAATTTCCAAAAGTGAGGTTCGTTTCGAAGTATCACTCTTAGTCTTTGAGATATACACTTTTGAAACTAAACAAATATTTCAATTTCTAAAATTTTGATGATATTAGTTTAAAAGATTTCTAAAAAATCGATATCTTGACAAAATGTTATGAAATTGTCACCAATTATCAATAAAAGCGTCTACTTTTCAATGATAAAGTTTCGTTTTGAGATATCACCTTTAGTTTTTGAAATATACGTTTTTGAAACTCAACAAATTTTTCAATTTTTAAACTTCTTTTATTTCCTACATATCAGTTTAAAAATGTCTAAAAAATCGATTTCTAGGTTAAATGTTATGAAATTATCACTAATCATAAATGAAAATGTCTATTTTTCAACGATAATGTTCGTTTCGAGATATCACTTTTAGTTTTTGAGGTATCAATTTGTAAACTCAATAAAAATTTCAATACCCAACATTTTTATAGATCAGTTTAAAAAATTTCTGAAAAATTAATTTTTTAATGAAATGATATGAAATTATCACCAAATCATAAATCAAAGTGTCTAATTTCCAATCGTGAGGTTCGTTTCGAAATATCACTTTTAGTTTTTGAGATATACATTTTTGAAATTCAACAAATTTTTTTTTTTTACTTTAAAAAAATTTTTAAAAATTGATTTCTCAGTAAAATGTTATGAAATTGTCACCAATTGTCAATGAAAGCGTCTACTTTTTAATGATAAAGTTCGTTTTGAGATATCATTTTTAGTTTTTGAGATAAAAATGTTTAAACTCATCAAGAATTTCAATTTCCAACATTTCTAGATCAGTTTAAAAAATTTCTGAAAAATCGATTTCTTGATTAAATGATATAAAATTATCACCAAATTATAAATCAAAGTATCTAATTTCCAATCATGAGGTTCGTTTCGAAATATCACTTTTAGTTTTTGAGATATACATTTTTGAAACTCACAAATTTTTGAATTTCTAAAATTCTTTGATTTCTTGTTTAAAAAAGTTACAAAAAATCGATTTCTTGGTAAAATATTATGAAATTGTTACCAATTGTCAATGAGAGTGTCTACTTTTCAATGATAAAGTCCGTTTCGAGATATCACTTTTACTTTTTGAGATATAAGTCTTTAAACTCAATAAGAATTTCAATTTGCAATATCAGTTAAAAAAAATTCTGAAAAATCGATTTCTGGATTAAATGATATGATAAGTTTCGTTTCAAGATATCACTCTTAGTTATTGAGATATAAATTTTTAAACTCAACGAATAGTACAGTAATAAAATTTACAAGATCCATTTGGGACAGTTTGTGAGCCAGTATAAGCAAATGGTATTGAGAAATTGCTAACTATTCAAAGTAACTCAGATTGAGATTACAAATAACTTTTATGAGAGGCAACTTATTTTTTTTATTTTTTATAACTTCCTCCCTTTTTTCAAAAAGAATTCTTAAAGTAACTTAATTGATACTTAATTATACCAATTTCTAAGAAAAAATCAAAATTCCAACTAAACCATAATTGTTTGAAGCGCAAAAACTAAAAGGGACTCAACATAACACCGTAACGAATCGGCTCTTATTGTTATTTAGCACCTTTATAGCCGCTTCACGGTTAATAACACCGATCGAATAAGTGAGACATTTTATTATTTAAAAGAAATTCTTACCTATATGCGTAAAACTGCGCACGGTGTTAGCATTTCTTGTATTAAGACCAGGTTTTGCAATCGCCACCGTATCTCTATGCCCAGACATGTGTTTTTGATATAATTCCAAAAGGGCGGGAGGTATTATCACTTTTGATCTGTCCACGTTGCTAGGTCTCTTTTTAAATCCAAAAAGTGACATTAAACCCGTTTCGACTTCGGCTAAAACTTCTTTTGATGAAGGTGGTGTCGATTGGGACGCGGAGCTCCGCGTTAATTCCACGAAAAACGCCACCAATAATAGCCAGTAGTATATCGGATAATGCATTGTTGAATGAAACCTAGAAAGAAAGAAAGAATTAGAATTTCTAACGATGTAAAGAAAATGTAAAATAATAGTTGTGCAACGTTGTCTTATTATAAGGCCGATAAAAATCATCTGTTGTTCGCTCTGGAAACGAACAATAAGGTCAGAACGCGACCAAGATTATATGTGTGGAATGAATTGATAACAAAGTGAAACGAAAAAGAGCTAAGAAGTTCGAATTTAATCGATTTTCAATTATAAATTGAGATTTTTTTAACTTTGAATAATGGTAAAGTGCATTTTATTTGTCGTATAGATGCAGTTGTGTTGCGCAAAGTTCAAGGTAATACTGGGCGCATTAACATAGAATCGATTAAAAGAGTTTTTCCTGCCCACATCCGTACTAAATATAAACTTTTTCGCATTCCAAGCCGCTCGGCGAGTTGGTGTTTTTCCCGCATTTAAATTAAGTAAGGACGAAATGGAAATAGTTCTTAGAAAATGAAAATAAAAATAATTGTATTTCTAATTGAGCAATAATTAAAATTTTTATTTGACGATTTTAACCCGTCCACTTTGGTTATCTAATGAATTATTTACAAATTTCAATTAATTTACGCAACAATTATTTATGCACAGTGAAATTCCAAAGAATGTAGTGCGAGATCGAACTGCTTTCAACCGGATTACAAATCAAACCTGTAATATTTATTTTACAGAAAAAAATTTTACTTTTACAATTTCTTCGATAACTAAAAGCAACCAAAGATATTGTAAACAAACCATTTTAAGGTAAAACTTAAAGATAACTGACACATTTACATACGGATAAAAAAATTCTTATTACAAGCACGCTACTGCTACTTTTAATACTTTTCTTCTGATGCTAAAGTAAAGTTATTCGTGCATCCGTGCAAAGTGGTCGTTAGTTTAATTTGCAACATTAGCAGAATAAGCTGGAGCGATCATTTTTTTTTTGGGTCCGTTTGAAAAGGAACTGTTAAGAAAAGAGCTTGTTTGTATGGAATAGCATCTAATTAGGGAACGGTGCAAGTATTTCTCTCTACCATAGAGGTCATATAAACGAGTTGTTCACCTTTGAACGTAACTCTTCGTCCGTTTTGGTGAAAGCTGAGAATCGGACATTAAAATTCTGAAAATGCCTTTTAAAAAATATTTTTTTTCTTGGTTAAAAAGTGAGAAATTCTTTAAAATTGTTTTTTGATTAATAATCGAGGTATTCATTTAATGAAAACTCATGCCAGAAGTTTAATTTTCTGTTCCATTGTAAACTGAGAAGATTCAAAATAGATTAATGTGTTCATATGATTATAATTATGAACTATCGAGTTTATTGATAAAAATTATGTAGTCTGAGCCGCAAGCGATTTTGGATTAATCAAAAAAAATCTGTTTCTTACATCCTCACTTTAGCCAAGGTCACTTGCGACCGAGGCGCTATAATATATTCACCACTCTTGGGTTCATATCGTTTTAGTTGTACAGAAACGACCCCGGCTTAATTTCAGAAAATTCATTAAACACAGCCGAGGCGCTGCAATATATTGATTACTATTGGTCACTTCGAACTTGTTTCTGAAGAAGGATGCAACATGGCATCCGAAACGTCAAACATTTTTTCAAAAAAAGCACGGATTAACCCGAAAGTTTCTAGTTCTAGGTCTAGTGTTAGTTCTAGTGATAGTACCGACCGTGAAAGCCTTCGCACTTATAAAAGAGACTTTCTTAGGGCAAAAGCCACTAACATTTTAACGAATTTTCTAAGTAATGAGGAATCCCCTACTTGGGTAGAGTCACACCTCACATTTTTGGAGAAAAAACCAAGAAGTTCCTGAAAGATAATCCTTCCTTACACATCACTAAAGCAGATAAGGGCTTAGTCACGGTCATTTTAACGACATCTTCTTACATGGGGAAGGCAACAACATATAAAAAAGTNGATATACGTTTTTGAAACTCAACAAATCTACAATTCCTAAAATTTCATTAGTTTAAAAAATTTCTAAAATATTGATTTCTTGATAAAATATTACGAAATTGTCACCAATTATCAATAAAAGCGTCTACTTTTCAATGATAAAGTTCATTTCGAGATATCACTTTTAGTTTTTGAGATAAAAATGTTTAAACTCAACAAGAAAATCGATTTCCAACAGTTTCTAGAACACTTTTAAAAATTTCTAAAAAATCAATTTCTTGGTTAAATGATACGAAATTATCACCAATTGTTAATGAAGGCGTCTACTTTTCAATGATAAAGTTCATTTCGAGATATCACTTTTCGTTTTTCAGATAAAAATGTTTAAACTCAACAAGAATATCGATTTCCAACATTTGCTAGATCACTCTTAAAAAATTTCTAAAAAATCGATTTCTTGGTTAAATGATATGAAATTATCACCAAATTATAAATCAAAGTGTCTAATTTCCAAAGATGAGGTTAGTTTCGAAATCTCACTTTTAGTCTTTGAGATATACGTTTTTGAAACTCAACAAATCTTACAATTCATAATATTACATTAGTTTAAAAATTTCTAAAAAATCGATTTCTTGATAAAATATTACGAAATTGTCACCAATTATCAATAAAAGCGTCTACTTTTCAATGATAAAGTTTATTTCGAGATATCACTTTTAGTTTTTGAGATAAAAATGTTTAAACTCAACAAGAACATCGATTTCCAACATTTTCTAGATCACTTTTAAAAAATTTCTAAAAAATCAATTTCTTGGTTAAATGATATGAAATTATCACCAATTGTTAATGAAGGCGTCTACTTTTCGATGATAAAGTTCATTTCGAGATAGCATTTTTCGTTTTTGAAATAAAAATGTTTAAACTCAACAAGAATTTCAATTTCCAACATTTTCTCGATCAGTTTAAAAAATTTGTGAAAAATCGATTTCTTGGTTAAATGATATGAAATTATCACCAAATTATAAATCAAAGTGTCTAATTTCCAAAGGTGAGGTTCGTTTCGNCTACTTGGGTAGAGTCACACCTCACATTTTTGGAGAAAAAACCAAGAAGTTCCTGAAAGATAATCCTTCCTTACACATCACTAAAGCAGATAAGGGCTCAATCACGGTCATTTTAACGACATATTCTTACATTGTGAAGGCAACAGGTTTGCTAAACGATACAACAACATATAAAAAAGTAATAATATAATTCAATCTAAAATAAATAAATTAGTCAAAGAAATCTATGAAAACATACCATTAAGACCGATAATCTCTTCTTTTTCGAGTTATGAGAAGTGTAGAAGTAGTTATAATGTTAAAAATACGTTTGACTTTGTTAATGAATTGAGTGAATTGATTCGGAAACTAAATTTAAGATCCTTTCATTAAAAAATATGTAGACAAAAAAAACTTTTTCAAGTAGATACATTAATTTTAGTTCTTTCCATAAGACTAAACATAAAATAAACACAGTTTAAAAAACATCGCATCACTAACATTTCAGATCCTCAATTTTTACACAAGAATTTAANTACTTGGGTAGAGTCACACCTCACATTTTTGGAGAAAAAACCAAGAAGTTCCTGAAAGATAATCCTTCCTTACACATCACTAAAGCAGATAAGGGCTTAGTCACGGTCATTTTAACGACATCTTCTTACATGGGGAAGGCAACAACATATAAAAAAGTGGATAATAACAAAGACACAACTAATATAATTCAATCTAAAATAAATAAATTAGTCAAAGAAATCTATGAAAACAAATTAATAGACGAAGTCACATTGAAACAACTTACTACATACAACTCCATTTTATCTAGAGCATATTTCTTGCCTAAAATACATAAAGATGATATACCATTAAGACCGATAATCTCTTCTTTTTCGAGTTATGAGATTTCAGCGTTCTTCACTAAGATCTTAACACGGGCTTTTGAAGGTAGAAAATACATTTGACTTTGTTAATGAATTGAAAGGCAAATTTGTTATGATTTTATTGTAATATCTTTAAAAGTTGTAAATCTTTTTACCAACATCGTTCTTGGTTGTAGATATAATCAAAAAAAGTCTTAGAGTTAGAGTCTCTTGTTTCTGACATATTTGACAATGATCAGATTTATTTGTAAAAGCTTTGAATGCTGTTTTTGACAAACACTTATTTTACGTTCGATAACACCACTCAATAAACAAATTTTTGGTACTCCAATAGGTTCACCACACGTTAGACAAAATCATTCCGAAACTAAATTTTCAAGTTCCTTTCATTAAAAAATATGTAGACAAAAAAAAACTTTTTCAAGTAGATACATTAATTTTAGTTCTTTCCATAAGACTAAACATAAAATAAACACAGTTTTAGCTATGAAACATCGCATCACTAACATTTCAGATCCTCAATTTTTACACAAGAATTTAAGTATTTTAAAAAACATCTTTTTACAAAATCCACATAAACTTCTTAACGAAATTTTATTTAATATCAATAACGTTGTTAATACCAATAGTGACACAATAGAGGATCCTGTTAGATACAAGAAGTTAATTTTTGTTCCTGGTCTAACGGAAAAATTAATTAAAATTTATCACGATAGCATCTCTGATTCCAGTTTAAAAATTGTAACACATTATCCATTTAAATTAGCTTCTGTTTTTTTCAATTTAAAAGATTAAGGTACTAATCTAACGTCATTTATCGGGTCCCTTGTGGAGTGTGTCATTGTTGTTATGTTGGCCAAATAAAACAATGGTTAAACATAAAAATTAAGTTCAGAACTGTAAAAATAATGGTTGCGCTCTTTCTCAACACTCTTTGGAAACAGGATATCTATTTGATTTTGATAACGTAAAAATTTTGGATAGGGAAGATAATTATTGTAACCGTTTGTTTCTGGAAATGTTTCACATTAGAAATGAAAAACATACTATTAACTTTAAAACAGACACAGGATCACTTAGCAATGTTTATTCTTTAATCTTCGATATTTATAATAAATTTTGAAGGGAAAACACACCAATCGTTGGTCGTTGATAGTGAACGGTAATAATT